GATACGGTATTAAAAACTTTTTTATTCGTTTTTTGTTGAAATTTGTATTATTTTTATCTTGTTCTACCGAACCGCAGTTTAGATAACCAATTTAAACGACTATTCCACTCTTCCACCGATTGCGAACGTATACCAAGATTAAAATACTATATGGGTGTTTGAATCTTACCTCATACGTGGTCTTAGGGTAGAATTTTTAATTTAAAATATATGTTTTCGCAGAATTTTTGAAATGAAAGCCAATGTAAACAGAAAGCTTAGCATATTTTTTGTTTTTGTTTTCAAGTTACTGGCCGGATTGGCCGAGGCGAAAACGGATGTTTCTTCAGCCTGTCAGATATGGCATGATTGACCACTCACTATTTTATCACATATCAAATTATTTCACTGGGAGTATTTGGTAACAATTTCAAATAATTTTTATTGTAATACTGAAATGAAGAAAGAAGTTTCTACTTAAGAATGTTTCTTTTTATTCCCGAACTGTTTTCCTGTAATCATTTTTGGCAAAATTTGGCAATTTTTTACGGGGGAACTATTTCAGATTTTTTAATTAACTTGATATCATAAGAAAGCCTAAACGTATTTCTTTTCATTTATTGTGTATTCAATATTGTTTATAAAAGCAAACATTTGCTACATACATTTGAATAAACTAATGTTTCAAAAATCTTGTGAATTCGCAATAAATTAAAAAAAAAAACATTTCTTCACTTTTTAGTAGTAGTAAGGTATGGAAGTGGTTTATTATAAAATATCATTAGAAAGTGTAGTATATTGTTTGTATTTCTGCAATAAGGCTTGAATCTCATTAAAGGCCCGTACGTTATGAAAACGCCTTTGCCAGGGTGCCATTATGGTCAATGTCGTGGCATGGAAATGATTAGGAACCTAATAATAATATTTACCATCAAATTTAATTATATATAGGGTTGGAATATTACGTGTTGCATAAAAACATTTTTGTATGAGGTTGTTATAATACTACAATATCCAAAAAAAAATCAATACGTAACGTGCTCGACAAATAAAAGGGCATATCAAAAGATAAAATTAACACAACCCTGCAGGAAGCACGGACAGTAGAACACAACTTTAATACGAGATACAGATTTTTTTTGTAAGTCACACTTTACGAAAGTTCCCCGAAACTTACAATTATTAAGTAAGTGTTTGCACTCAGGAGACTGCAGTCGAGACGATCAAGGTATTGAATTTTATTTACATGTAAGTACATTTAGTTACCAAGCTCGATGTTAAGAGCTTATGCTCGACTCGTTACCAGAGAATTGGAGTAATATTACTTCTTCAGTGTATGAAACACAAATCAAAGATGGTTACCTGATGTTTCGTACACACCCAATAAACACAAAAAGCTCGAAAGAAAAATAAAAAAGTATATATTTTCAGCAAACTTTATACACAGTCTTCGAAGAAGTCACCGGTTGGAAGAGACCATGGCAGACTTATTTGCTTTAAGTTTTCAATAAATAGTGTTAAAATTGCCGTGCACGAAATAAAGCAGGTGAATATCTTTAATATCTTTAACAAGTGAATTAATTGAAAAGCCTGATAGATCGTGGAAGAATTACAGAATTGTACACCTTTGTAGAAATGTATTTGAAGCACAAACTGTGATTCCATCATCACAAAACGTTTTTTACTGTCTGCGTTCAAGTTTACAGGGTTCTATCTAAGTTAATGCTCAAGTGCGTTTTTAATAGACCACACATGGGACAGAGCGCAAGCGGTACACAGCACGGGACTCGCGCTTCTCTCTAACACCAGAGGGTGAGTAAGGAAACAGTAAAAAACCAAAAAATATTGAGACCAGATTATTAGATGGAAGCACTTTTTTTAGATACTAGTTCACTGCGAGTTTGAGTTAACGTTCGCACAGGTCAGATTTCAGGCAATTCACTGTCCAAGACTTAACGCATCCGTCTCACTGCCGAGAGCCCACTCCTAGAGTGGCGAAGTGAATTCATTGTTTACACATGCTTGTCTTTCCACTTTATGGTCCTAGCATTTGTCCTGTTACTCTGGACTTTTATAAACTCGCTCTCTTATCACGGTATTGTCCTCTCTGTCCTTCGCTCCACACGTGAGAGGACTGAATGCCTTTTGACGCCCTAAGCTTCTCCCAGCCATTCTCCGACAACCGAAAAAGGGTTAGCTCATCTTGGGCACTATTCCCTTGAATTTATGGTTGAGTTTCTCAACAAGCACTATCCCAATATTGTATGGCTCAGTCTGTCAACAAAGGTGCACGCGTTGGCTATACAGTTCAACTTCGTTGTTTTCAAATTATGCATTGAAGCGTGATGCCTGAGAACACCGCCTACTCCTTCGCAAGCGCTTTTCTCGTGCCCTGACGCTGAGTAGATCTACTTGGTGACATTTATCTTGTTCTCCAATTCTTATAACTGTAACCGATACCAGACGTGCCTTGGAGCTCCGTCAGAAATATAAATAACATTAGAAAACACGTACAGAAGCTCCTTAAGTCGTTCTTCGATCAATAAGAGTGCAAAGAACGCGTGTGCAGAGTCGTGGCAAGTGTCATAACTCAGCTTTTCCTCAGCGTTCCCATTGTAGTCGTAGCTACGCAAGTAAAGATCGTCAGAGTCTTGTTCTTTCAGTCGTAACCTTGCACGCACATTAGATAACAACACTCCACTTTTCGGCAAAACCGAAGTCTAACGTCACGGCACGTGTCTGAACATTTTCTTTTTTGCTGCATATGGAATTTCCATAAGCCCGTCTGATGAAAGAGTGTGGTATGTATTTTGTCGTCCACTTCTTGGAACTCGTTAATTAAAGCTGTTGCGTCCAAAAGGTTTTTATGAACTCTCCACCAGGCTCCCACAATGCCAACTGTAGCTCATCTTCAGGTTCAATGCCTACTTTTTCAAAAGAGACATTTTCCCTTCGAACAGGATTCACCTGCCAACTAACAGCAAGCAAATTCCTAAAAATATTTCACAAAAAAAATTTCTGGACATTTTTAGATGTTGTGGACCGGTTTTGCGATAACCCGTGTTTGCCGTTTCCCAAAGAGCCCTTTGAAGCCCGCTGAATACACTGAGGACAGACGGGCGCAGTTTTGACACCGTGATCCACTAGGTGGCCGTCTAACTTTTACCATATGTAACTCAGACCCGGAAATAAAAGACTAAGGGGAAGTGGTGTCTACTTCCAAGGAAATGCGCCACGAACTATGCAGAAAGTTTAGGTGTAGCCCAGGCAAACTTACAACTACCTGCAATTTTTACTCCGCATTATGCACAATTCTCCTAAGTTATACGCTACATGTTAAATTGAGTATTAATATTATGTAATCAATCATGTCCATGCCACAATGTTAGCCATAACAGCACCCATTCGAAGGCGCATTCGCAACGCATGTTTTACTAGATTCAAACATTTATTGCGGACGTAGAAACAATATACTACAGTTTCTTTTTTTTTATTTTTGAGTAAACCGCTATTATACCCCACTATTACTAAAAATTAAAGAAATTGAAGATGGTGTTTTTGAAAAAATTTATCCCGAATTCGCGAGATTTTTTTAAACTTTGGTTAATTGAAATGCATGTAGCAAATGTTTTATTTTACATACAGTATTGGATTTCTAAGGAATGCAAATGACGAAATGTAGACTTTTTATTATTATATAAATTTGGTTAAAATATTCAAAATACGTAACGAGTAGATTATTGCTCCGCCAAGAGTGACGAAAAAGAGAAGTTCGATATATTTTTTAAATATTTCAAAGTATAATATTTTTTTCTAAATTTCGAATGAAAACTATTTTGAAATTTTCACCAAAGAGTCGTGGTGCAATCATTTCACAAGTGACAAAATAGCGAGTGGTCAAACATGCCATCTCCGACAAGCTGCAGAAACGTCAGTTTTCGCCCCGGCCGCTTCAATCGGTATAACTTGAAAACCAAAAATCCGTCAAGCTTGACGTTTACGCTGTCTTTCATTTCAAGAATGCTGCCAACACATTTCTTTTTAGATACAAAATAAAATTTCGGTTTCAAAACCGTGCCTGAGTTGAGATGAAAACACCATATATATGCTGATTCGCGTCCCTTTACGTATATATTTCACATGTAGTGGAAACAGCAATAGTACATTTGTTTTTGCTGTCTCCACTGCACAAAAAAAAAAAAAAGGCGAGTTTTTGCCGGTTATTTTAATGGGGGCCACTAGTGGTGTACGTGGGCCGGGGGGGGGGGGGGGTGAAAGATATTTAGGTAGAGGGGTTGGTATGTATAGTGCAGTACAACAAAACAAATAAAAATAAGAGAATAACCAGTAGCGCTTGATTCTTTCCTGTGTTTAGAATCGGAACCAGTCGTTTCTGATGTCCCCTGTAGCATGTCCTATTTCTAGGTCCTTTACTGTAAAAAAAAAAAAAAAAAAGACGCAGAGTTTTGAAGAAAATTTGTTGAAGGTTCGCTCTTCGGATTAAACTGCGAAGACGTACGGATACACCGCTAGTGCTTAACTAAAGATGGCCAGTTGCAGCCGTCATCTGACACTGAGTATGTTGTTAGCGGCAAACGGAAGTGTCCAAGACGCACGAGAAGCAGGTCTAACGCTCACGGTCTCTTATCAGCGGAGAAAACAAAAGCGGAAGAAAGTCTTGTTTGGCGTGCTAGGTGATCTAAATACAAAGAGTTCTTTTTTTTTTTTAATTAAATTAAACATTTAAGACTCTTTGGGGGATAAATTTTTGTTGAGTGCATGTCGTGTAGGTTGAGTCACACCAGCACTCCGGAGAATATTGATAATCCAGCCGGACGTCTCCGAGTTGCCGATCACTTTTTGTTTGGAATAGGATAAGTGTTTCTACCGAACACCCGGAAACGACAATCGATGTTCTTTCGTCGTCTGGCTAACCCTGTGGTTCGTTGCACTCTTATTTTACTAACCATTGTGAGGTGTCCGGGTATAGTCCAGCTGACAGTGTCACCCCGTGCCCGCAGATCCACCAGAGATCAAGTACGAGGGCAACCCCCGAGAGGAAGTGGAAGAGGGTGCGTCGCTGACGCTGAGCTGCGTGTCGGACGCCAATCCGCCGGCCAACATCGTCTGGCGCAAGTCTGGTCAGTCGAGCATCTACGACATCAGCCACAGCATCCACTTCTCCAGCATCCAGCGCACGGACTCCGGGGTCTACAGCTGCTCCGCCAAGAACGACTTCGGAGACAGCCCCGAGATACAGGTCACTGTCAACGTCAAATGTGAGTGCTGATGGTGATTATGCGATTCGTTTCATATAGAGGTGGGAAGGGAACTAATCTTGGTCTTCGTTTTGCAAAATCTAAAAACAAAGAAAAAAAATTATAATACTAAAATCAAAACGACAGAGTTTAGTGTTGTTATGGGTCACTCGATGCCTACGAGAATCCCGTTTTATCGTTCAAATCATTTAATCTCTTTTCATCTGCAATTCTGTCCGACATTCAACGAAGAATAAAAATGGGCCATCGAGTGAATTTAAATGAACGTTGTGTCGGCCGTGAAGACACCTCCTTATACGTTGGAGGACGGAGGATTGTTTCAAAACGGACAAAAACTGTTTTCACAATGTTTCAGCAAAGAGAGTGCACGGGGTGTATATATAGTCCAGGCCTAGTCCAGTTAAACACTAACCGCTGTTTTTTGCTCTTATTGAAACGTTAATCTACGCAGGACCGAGTCCTCGGTCGGTGCCTGAATTGATCTGAGCCCCAGAGATTAAAATAATACTACAATGTTTCAGACCTAAGACCTATCCGATTCGAAAGTTACAAGCAAGTCTCCCTATTTGTACCCAATTACACAGTAGAGGCCAGTGAAGCCCGCGAATACGTGAAGCTAAATAGCTCGTGCTGCCGGAAACAAGCTTCCTTTTCTTAAAAATATACTAAACACTTTGTTTGCTGTTGTTTAGACGTATAACGTTGGTGTTTTCTTGGTCGTTTTTCCCAGTCGCTAGAGGCACTTGTGGGGTGCTGCCGGCACGTAAAGCTGGGCACAAAAACTAAAAGCATGAAAGAAAAAACGTGGAAAAAAGAAGGAGAAAGGAAACGGGCGACGTTTCGCAACACGCCCTTTGTCAGACTATTGGAAAACTGAGAGAAAACAGAGAGAAGAACGCGAGGGCTGTCAAAAAATGACGCCGACGATAAAAAAAAAAGAATAACAAAACAAAACGAGGAGGGACAGCAGCTAACGAAAACCAGATAAAGAGAGAAGTATACCGGTCCGGTGATGGTCAAAAACTACTTCGAAAGGGGAAGGTCGGGCGGAACGAAGGGAAGTGGGAGGAGGGTCGACTGGAGTGGAAAAAGGAAAACCAAGGAAAAGACCGCGATGGCTGTTGGAACATGACACCAGAAAACAAAACAAAAAACAGAAAAACAAAATGAAAAGGGCGCGAAAGCGAAATGGCAACCAGACGTGGAGACAACGGACGGAAAGAGAAAGATACCGTGAGGGAACGAGGAAGTCGGTGGAATAAGGAAAATGTTGGAGTGGTTCGGCTTCACAGGAAAGAACGGAAGCATTAGTAGAGCCTATTGTTTAAGCCGTCAGGGAATTCAATGCAAAGACTATAAAGATCAACGTTGTTTTTTTTTTTTTTTTCTTCTCTTTTGGGGGGGGAGAGAGCAGGGAGAGCTAGACTCAATGACGGAGACGCGCATATTGAGTTAATTGTGTCCAGTTTTCGAGAAGTGGTTGTAAACGGGCTTGGAAAGATTAGGATCTAGTTTGTTAGTGAACTTTAGGGTTACGAGGCGGCAGTTATTCAGAAACGTCCATGCAGCTTGCGATCGGTTTCACCAATATAAGAAGTGGCGGGGCATGCGGTGCAGAAAATTGGGTAAGCGCTGTTACCAGCTTTGCAGATGTGGAGGAGTAGGGCTATCGGCAAGCATGTCGCTCCTTTTCCCCTTAACTTCATGCACAACATTCCTGACAGGCATACCTGCAGATCTGTTAAAATCGCTTACTTAATGTTCTGCGGCGCATGTCTAACAATTTTCATATTGGCGATGCTGACCGCAAACGCCATGGACGTTCCCAAGAGCACCGCCGCCTCGTAACCCTAAAGCTCACTAACCGTTTAGATCATAACCTCTCCACACGCTTCCGACCACTTCTCCGAAAATGGGCACAATCAACTCAATTTGCGCGTGCGTGTCACTAAGTGCGGCTTCCTCTGCTCTCGCTTTCGCACGAAGGAAGAAATGCGCTTGATATTTCATCTCCGCACTGAACTCATTAACGACTTGGACAAAATACTCACTTTCGGCTACTACTTCCACTGTCGTCTGAAGTGGGCCCCCTCTCTCATTTTCCTTCGCTGCCTCGAACTTTTCCGTACGTAGCAGTTTTGACCCTCACCGCATCCTTCTGTCCCCATCTTGTTTTCGTTTGCCGATGTGCCCTTCTCGTTTTGTGCTGCTTTTTTCTTCACCTTCTGGCGTCACTCTCCGACAGCCTTCGTGTCCTGCTTCTTGGTTTTTCTTAGCTTTCACATAGTCTGACGAAGGGCGTGTATCCTTAACGGCGCTATTTTCTTTCCCCCTCTCTTCGCACGCTTTACATCTCACGCTTTTTGTTTTAGAGCCACACTCGAGTGAAATCCGATAATTTATTATGGCAATGCAAAAGCACACTGATCATAATTTTGGGCTGATGTCCGCTAGATCGACCCCTCAAAAACCCGAAGAACGTCTCTTATCTTACCAAGGCTGCTGCTGCGGAGAAAAAACAAGGAGAATCAAACACTCTATGCAAACAGTTTCGTAACAAGTCCTGGAACGTTCGAACTCTTCCATCATTGGCAAGGATGTCCGAGAGAACTTTAAACAGTGATGGATCGGGGAACGCGTAGGAGCGTATGGAGATATTTAAATCGCCGAGCTGCTCCCTCCTACGCTTCAACCATATCGATTAAATTTTATTTTTCGACGTGTCTCAAATCAGAACAAGGGCCTTTGGCATGGAAGTATAGATTATATTCGTGCGCTGCTGCTGGAAAGCGTCTCAGACTGATGTGTTTATCGCGTCTAAGGAAGTGCCTTCTCGATTGCCGCCTGATCTTGTCGTAAAAGTGTCATGCTTCGGCCGGCCGCGACCCTGAGGGTGTCAAAGCAGCGGTGGTGAATGCGGCAGGCGCCTGTCCTGGTGCAGGTCGCTCTTCAGCCTGACAGTTCACGGAAGCTTCGGCAGTCAAGAGTTGGACGCCGCGACGACAGCGAAACTCGCGTTCGCTCGTACTTTTTAGAGCGCAGCTCTTAGGGGCCCGTTCCCGGCTTGAGCGGCGTCGCCGTCGGCGTCGGCGTCGGCGTAACCAAGGTCATCCCAAGGTCACGTGACCCCCAAGGTCACGTGACCCCTCCCAAGGTCATCTCAAGGTCACGTGACCCCCTGAAGGTCACGTGACCCCTCGAGGTCACGTGACCCCTTCCAAGGTCATCTCAAGGTCACGTGACCCCAAGATGACCCCACGTGACCCTTTGAAGGTCACGTGACCCCCAAGTCACGTGACCCCTCTGAGGTCACGTGACCCCCGAGGTCACGTGGTCGCCTCCCCAAGGTCACGTGACCCCCGAGGTCACGTGGTCGCCTCCCCAAGGTCACGTGACCCCTTCCAAGGTCATCTCAAGGTCACGTGACCCCACGTGACCCCCAGGTCACGTGACCCCTCTGAGGTCACGTGACCCCTCTGAGGTCACGTGACCCCCCGAGGTCACGTGACCCCTCCAGGTCACGTGACCCCCAAGGTCACGTGGGGGTCACCTTTGGGGTCACGTGGCCTTGAGGTCACCCCCAAGTCACGCCTCCCCGAGGTCACGTGACCCCCTCCCCGAAGTCACGTGACACCCCCCCCCCCCGGAACATATTAAAGAATGAGGGGAGGAGGAGGAGAAGGGGGAGGGGTCTACCCTCCCCTCAGTACCCTTCACTCCTCCTCCTCAAGAGCTGCGCTCCAATTCGGCGTTACAGGGATTTGTGAACGGCTTTCACTTTTTTTCTTCTAATGCTTCTACGCTCAACCGATAGGATCGTGACATTAAAAAGCAGGACATCACCACTTTTGTGGTGTCACCCGTTGCCACTTGAGGACTACTCTCTATGTATGGGCAGCGTAGGACGCTCAACAGACCAGTCGGAGGAGCGTTCCGGGCTCAGTGGTTAGGAGGAGGTGACACGCATGTTTTCTGTCTGTGTTAGTCAACGGAAATAACATGCAGGGAACGCAGGAAGCGCTAAGACTCCTTTCGTCTGCCGTACTCCGCGCCTGGCTGATTAGCGAACCTGCTTAGGACGCAGCGCGACACATCTAATAAAAAAAGAATTTATCACCGATGTTTGTTTGTTTTTTTGTTTTTTTTCAGTTTCACTTTTTCTTATAAGACGCAAACTGTGTCGTCAAAACACATACTTTCTCAGAAGGTCCTGAGCGTATGGTGCACAACGATGCACGCGTGTTTTAATCAGTCGATTAAACGGAAAAAAACGATTGATAAAAACTAAAAATTATGGGATAGCGCAAAAAAAAAAATACCGCATCTCCACGTGGTGATTGATGTTGATTGGGGCGAAGCTCTGGTGGTGCTGATGATACTGATTTTATTGTTCACAGGTAGTGCCGATGGCGCTGATTTGTTTCATTCCTCATAGGTAGTGCTGAGTTCCGGGTTGCGTTTCGACTTCATTATTCCTGCTTTATGGTCGGTGAAATGCCGAGCCAGTGGTTCTTCTAGCGGATCAGCTTGGATCCGCTAGAAGCCGTGGGGACGCATCTCCACCGCTTAAGACAACGGTCCATGTCAGAAAGAGCATATCTGGTATGGAACGTGGTTATATACGCATTTGAGCATTTAACCGCAGCGCCCTCTCGTCTATAAACGTTGAGCCAATGCATGCAAGTTTTAACACGATTATATACGCATTTGACCGCAGCGCCCTCTCCTGTATAGACTTCGAGCGGCTGGCTACATGCAACGTTTCATCCATGACAGAAACCCCAGCTCTTTAGTTAGTACCACATCTCAGAGCCTCCTACTCGTCCCGCAGTAGTGGCCGATGATATTGAACATTTTTTTATTGAATTGAAATTATAATGGCTTAGACATATATAGAAACCGAATCGGGGTTCGAATTATTGGTGACAATATCCACAAGTGCGAGGTCAGTCTCCAAAATGCTTATGCAAATCAAATTCGAAACGAAACCAACAGGAAAGATACTTGAAAATAATGCAAAAATACACAAATGCGACAGTGCTGCAACAGGGGCATAAAAAGCTGTAAAAAGATGACTTCATAGACAATTAAAATTTCCAACCTCGGCTGATATCTGAAGCTCAATTTTTTCTTTCAATATTTTGACATGTTTACGCTATTGTGTTCTGCCCACACCGCAGCCGGCGCTACACGGCGCTCCAAAAAGGATTGTCTTTCAGCCCGCAGTGTAAGCGATAAAAAAACTAACAACGCGACGCTATTTTTTAGTGCGTGCGTGTCAGCGAGCGCTGGGCCGCTTGTGCGAGCGTTGAGGCTTTCAGAGAGCTTCCGTCGGCTCCGCAGTCTCGCAAAAGTAATTGTAATTGTACCTGAAATTCGTAATTACTCACCCTTGAAAATTAATTAAATTACAATTTATTTTAGCCGGAAGTAATTAATTAGAATTAAAAATTACGAAGAAAGTAATTAAATTACAGTGATTCAAGCACAGTGATTGAATTACTACCCAAGAATGTGTGGCTTTCGAGTCTCGTAGGAGGCAGCATGTATCAGCATGTCAAGTTCGGCGGATGTCATTAAATAGGCTGAGTGTCGCTTAACACCAACCTCAGACTGCGGTGCTGGGTGTTCGTGGGTTTCCATACAAAATTATTGTTACGCTGCCTTGCGTGTCAGCTTGGACGTAGTCATGATAGTGCGGAAATCAGGACAGAGTGGCGTATACGAATACTTTTATCGCTGCTTACTCAGTATTTGCTCCGCTTAATCATCTTGCTCCAGATTGATTGATCCTGCCCCAAAGAATGGTTTTATTCTACTTGCTTACCGGATAGCTTTATACTCAAAACGCTACCGTTACATCCATTGTATGGCGGATTTATGTACAGTCAGCACGAAGTGAAACCCGAACGCCGGAACGCGTGACCGTTGATACAGGCTGCTCCACCTGGAGGGCCCCTGAGAACTAATGAAAATGCGCCGGGGCGCGAGGGTGCGGGTCCTACTAAGACGACCTGGACCCTCGCGCGGCGCGTCTAGGAGTTCCGCGCTTCGCCGGTGGCGCGCTGTAAGCGCCGTCACATCCGATACAAAAAGCGCTGTCACTCGCTTTGTGTATCGGATTCCCAGCGATATCGCTTCAGCGCTGTTATTCATTATCGCTTTGTGTATCGCAAGGGCGAAATCAAAGTATTTCGTGCACAGAAGACCCGCAGTGCTTGATGACGTGTTACCGCAACCACGCTGGGGCTCTGGTGAACAACGTGCCATGTGCGGTTTCTGAGAAACAGTGAAACGTCATAAACGCGAAATAAAATTTGTTTATTCGCACGACCATACTCTTTATGAAAAAAAAATATGCTGCAACAGACCGACGCGGATGCCTCGGTTTTTATGAGCTATGTTCATGGTTTTGTGCGAGGTTATCAGTCGAATCTTAAAAAGCGAAGAATCGATTGCTGACGCTCTCTTTGGTAACCACCGATATGCCAGGCGTATCAATTCCGGAGCGGAATAAATTCATCACCCTGTTTGAGCAGGGCCTATCGCAAAGAGCTATAGTCAGGTTAAGCGGCCACCCGGTGTCGACCGGGCGACAGTGCGGCGACAGACAAGCACCCCGAGTGACGGCGCCTACAGCGCGCCACCGGCGAAACGCGGAAGTCCCAGACGCCCCGCGCGAGGGTTGAGAACATCTTAGTGGGACCCGCACACTCGCACCCAGGTGCATTTTCATTAGTTCTCAGGGGCCCTCCAGGTGGAGCAGCCTGTATCGATGGCCACGCGCTCCGGCGTTTGGGTTTCATTCCGTGCTGATTGTACACATCGATGCCGGCGGCGACTTTGTGCACACTCTATAGATGAAAAAGAAATGAAGAGACTAAACACAGGTGACAAACCACAATCGAAGAGTTCTAATTCCCAAAGATCGCTTTGCTTGGAGTGGCTTCTTCGCCGCGTAGGCGCTCTGTAGAATTCAGACGTTGCGTGTTGGAAAGAAATTCCCGTTTTCGCGCCAGCCATGCCGCGTGGAGTGTACAGGATCCTTACCCCTGGGTCTTGTTTCTCCCACCCGCAGTCCGGCCGAAGATCATTCGCGTGGAGCCCCCGTCAACGGCCACTTTCAACGTCGGCGAAGTCATGGCTCTCAACTGCGTGGCTGAAGGAAATCCTGTCCCAAAGTGAGTGGTTCTCAGTTTATGGCTGGAAAAAATGCTGACCTCCCTAGCAAAAGCGAAAACGTTGGGGCCTGGCCGAGTTCCGGGCACCCTAGAGTCACTCCGCAGCGAAAGAGACAGTGGCGGTAACTTTCTGGTGTAGTACTGCGCATGATGTTTCACGTGCTTACCTTATGATAAGTCACTGCTCTCAGCGCGCAAGTTAAAAATGTCTTATGATACCTTCAGTCTCATCATTTGCCTAGCTGCCTTTGTAGATTGCGGCAATTGGCTCTACCAAGTGGATCGCGAGGAAGCAGCGCAGTGAAAATTCTTCAGCGTGCAAAGTGTGCAAGAGATACAGCCTTTACGAACGGATGAACTCGTTCTAAGAGCTGCTATTTTATTTCGTATGTATTTAATTATTCGACATAATTGTTAAAACGTCACTGACGCTCGTGTAGGTCTAACACTTGCAGTTGACCCGATACTGAGGTGCGCTTATCAGAAGAAAAAGGAAAATAAGCTTAACTTGCGCTGGAGGCCGTAGAGAATGACAAAAAGAACGTCTCAATAAAACTGGTCAATAAGGGCTTACAAGTAACGTGGTTATTGATATTTTGTGAGGTTTGTTCTGTAACGAAGTACAGACGTCGTTTATCTGAAAGGGCAAAAACTAGCTAATTTTTTATTACTTAATTACTGAGTTTCGACATAATATTTTGGTCATTTGTATAGAAACAAAATCTGTCCAATACATCCTTTGTCTACACATCCCCTATTGATGTCTTATGATTAAGAAGCGCTAGATGAACTGTAACCTAAGCTATTGTAAGAAGCTAGATAGCACGTTCGCGTTCAATTGTAAGCGCATCAACCCCATTCCACCGTTCCCAATATACACCAATCACACTCCCGGAGACAAAAAAAAAAAAAATCCACTAAGCTTTGTATGGTTGACCTGTCGGCTTTTTGTTCCAGAACATCTGCCATTTTAGCTGCCGTGACTTGAAACGTTATTACAAAGATAATGCAGTCCTGGGACTCGGCAATGAGTAACTTGCTTAGCTACTGTCTGAGCGAGCGGAGGGTACCTGTGCTCTGTTATTTTTTAATAGTATGTGTACACGTTAAGGGGTATACTGATGTCTTAACCCAACGCGACTCCGTCCGCTTCAATCCGCTTAGCGGAGGAGTCATGCTGTGTCAGGACACCCCTTCAAGGAATTCTCCTCTCCTATCTCATACAGGATATGTTTAACAAAAAACTGGGAGCCATTCCGCTCTGTCAAGGTAGATGACAAGCGAAGCTGTTTAGCACACGGCACAGACGAGACATAAATTTTTAAACGAAGGTACGAACACATTTACTGTCTTGATCGGTGGTCATCGTGACGAAAGGTACGCATGCACACGTGCCGCCCGCCGCCGCCGCCGCTGACATTCTCGTTGCGGTTCCCGCCGTTGCTCCTCGTAGGCGCGTTGCTCTTCGGGAGTCCGGACTATACACGGCCTCCCCATTACAACGAGAGGAGAGAATTGAAATTAAAAATGGAGAATGGCAACTTGCCTTTCTTTTTTTATGTATACATACGCGTGGACGACTATCGCCACCCCGAGGGGCCGGAGGAGACACGCGCGACGGGAGCGCAGCCCGACAGGAAGTAGACACGCGCGACGGGACCGCCACCGCGGGAGAGCGGAAGGAAAGGAAACTAGGCAGGCAAGCGCTTGGAATAACGAAAAAGAGAGGACGGTGCGAGCGTCGCGTTTTTGGTCACGCACACGAAATTACCCAAGCTTCAAGGAGAACGCAGGGAATGGGGTTCCACCGCTTTCCTCTTATAAAAGATTCGAAGTAAATAACCAAAATAAAGCGTTGACGAACGCGCGTGCAAGATGCCATTTGTTTGAGGCATTTGCTTTAGAACAGTTACTGCTGCAGACGCTGGTACGTGCGGCACGTGGGTGGGGTGCAAGCATGGAGTGTTTGGACACGCACAAGAAAAATCCACGGAACCCTAGCCATGAGCAGTTTCCCTGTAAAATACAAAAATAATCGGTGTTCCTAGTCCCTGTGCATCTCATTGCTGAATTCGCTTGAGGACTACTGAGAGTACACAACGTGGACGCAAATTGGCGCTATTTTTGTCGTAAGAACAAAGGGGAGATGTTTTCGCTTTGTGCGATGCCCGAATCATGAGCCACCCTAGAGCGACAAACTGGCCTCCGGTGGGATCCTGGCTGTTACGAGAGCGCAGGAATTCTCATTTACGCGGCTCTCCTCACCGTGGAGGTATGGGGGAAGGAAAGGGGAAAAGAGGAGGGGGGAATGGCTGCGCGATTGATCGTTGCACCGGCGCGTCATTAGGTAGTCGCTCAGTCTACAGGGACAACGCGCGTGCAGTTCACGAAAGCAACAGCGATCACTCTCAAAATGTTGGGATATTGTCGCCTGTACACGGGAGCTCGAGATGTGCTGCCGTGGTTTTACCGTGAAGCGCATGTTGTTTGTTTTTTTCCGCTATTTTTCTTTTATCGTGACATTCGCGTAGGCACGACATGGCTGTCGAACCACGGTTTTAGTGGTCCCGGATGGGTCGCAAAACTTCACTTTGTCTTGTGTTTGGTCGATCGTCAAGCCTCACCGTGCGATCATCTAACAAACTTACACACAAAAACAAGTTGCACCAACTTCCAACGCCCTCTTTTGCGGCACTTTCCCGATACCGCAGTCTAGAAAACATTTGTGAATTTACTTTTCTACTGAACAGAAAGACAGCCAGTCACGGCAAACATTATATTTTTGTCTTATTGCATTTTGTGTATTTTGCCGTTCACTGGAATCCGTCTATTGTTTACCGCGAATGGCTGTCTCCGTTTTTGCAAAAAAAAAATATATATATATATTTTATTTTACAGCGATAGTTGTTACGGGTTTTTTCCACCACTTGAAATGACGTCCGTTGTAGTTGGCGATCTAGGACATCCGTCGGCGATGTTGCAAATCTTCGAAAAAGATCGCCCTCCTCCCGCGTGTGAAGCAGAGACGTTACTACTGAGCTACGCCACAGCGTTAAGAACCCCGCTCTATATATGACTGCAAGCAAGGCATTTGGCCGCCGCCATGTCTCTCTGCTCGTCACGACAAGCCCGTTCACTTGCAAGCTTGCCGAAGTTATGTTTACCCGCGCAATCTGCACGTGCTTGCTCGCACGTGGCACCAGTCGGGGTGTCATGCTTCCAATTTTTCTATACTTAGGGTTTTTGTAGTACCCAGTGCTCAATGCACGTGCTCTCTGGAAAAATAGAGAGAATAGACCGATCTCACCAAGCGTTCCACGCATGCATGACGCCGCCATAGGTGTAGTTTGTAGGAGGCAGACGCCAGTTCACGCGACAGCTCATGCTGCCTCGTGGTCTGCTCGCGCAAACCTCCAGCAGGGTTGTCGCGCGTGCAGAAAGACTACAGCTTCCACGACGCATGTCGGCAGCGGTGGCGTACTCAAACTAGCTGGTGAGGTCGGTCTATTAGCCGGTAACGGAATATTGCCGTAGGACTGTCAATGCAAAGATCTCGTTCGGGGAGGGGCGCGTTCATGGGCGCCGGAATAAAAACGGAAACAAAATAGTTCGGAACAAAATGGTCAGATATCTATTTTGTTCCGAACACGTTTATTCACGCACCCCACGATGTGTGAACGCGATGCCGATCGATGCCCCACGACTTCGCGAGACGTGTCGCAGCTATTGCTGTGGCCGAACCGCGACTTAGCACAGGGCGGCTCAATCTTTTTACAGTTCCGGGGATAATGTAATTCCCGCTGTCCGAATGAACATCCTCCCATATTTATTTTATTTCTCATCCTTTGTTTTTGTCCGGTTCGGAGTTGTGTCTACCACTTTCTGCTCCCTTCTCTTTCTCAACTTTCCTCTCTCTTTCCCTTTCTCTCTCCCTCTCTCTTTCTCTCTCCGCCAGCTTGTCCCTTTCCATTTATCATTCTTCTTTACATTGTTATTGCTGGAAACAACATAGATAAAACATCGCGTGGACTTTCGTTCTGTTTTTTTAATATGCTTTTTTTTTCCCCCGATCGCAGGATCAGTTGGCTACAGCAGAGCGGACGGGACCCCAACATCTGGAACATTCGGGGCCGGAACGCGACGCTGGTCATCGCGAACGCGTCGTACAGCCACCAGGGCGTGTACCGCTGCGAGGCCTCCAACACCATAAGGAACCAGCCGTACAGGGTGCAGTCGCAGGAGATACGCATCGATATCCGAGGTGAGAAGCTCACCGCCTTAAAATGCTCCGCCGTTTCTTTTGCACGTTGAATGCGGCAGTAATCACGTGACATCGAGCCCGTGCAACGCCGCTCATATCAAAACCAACCAAGGCGGGAAATATATTACTCCTTTCTTCGGTACGCTGTTTGAGCTATTTCTATACCAGGGTAGTTAGTATAAGTATTAGTACGCTGTTCATATTAAAACCGGCTGAAGCACGAAGTATTACCCCTACCTTCGGTATGATTTTCGAACTCTACCTGTACCAGTGTAGCTCACAGGAGTATTAGTATGTCTCAGCATAAGAACAGCAGTAGTGGCTGCAGTTTCTATGCGAATTACCAGAGAGGATTGGCCTATCTTAGCAACTTTCTACGAAGACTATTACAGCATTGTTTAATTTCACAGAAAAACGAAAATCCTCCATCAGCTCCCTCTTTCAGTGTTGACTCCCACATGAAAGCACACGAATTGGGGGCATTCAGCCTAGTCTTTTTTTTTTTTTTTGTGAGCATATCCTTTCTATTTTTCCCCTTTCTTTCTCTCTCTCTCTCTCTTCTATTTGTCTTCAAAGCTATTGTGTTTTGCAGCAGAAATAAAAGCCTTTACACCTACCTGCTTCTTTCATAAAAGAGTGAAAGAAACATGATTGGAAGATTTAACACGTAATAGAACGTTACCTAAATTGAAAAGTTTTTTTTTTTAATTTAATATATATATGGATCTAAAATCCCAGCCATATGAGCGGTTTTTGTTTTTATTCTGTTAACAGCATTTGAATTACCAGGGAGGAATGGCGTCCCTTAGTCACTTACCATGAAGACTAAGACAGCATTTTTTTTATTCCATGGCAAAATAGAAAAGCCTCCCTCAGCTGCCCATTTTTTTTTTTTTTTTGAGAAAGGCGGGGGGGGGGGAGGGGGGAAGGCTTTATCTCAAAAAAAAAAAATGCCGATGTTTAATGCGTCGTGCCGCATTTTCCATTGAGCATAGGCTTGTTTGTTTTCGGTGGGCGCATCCTGTCGTACTTTTCTCCCTCTTTTTACTATTTTTGTTGAAGGCTATTATGTTTTGCGATCCTTTAATACAACAAAAATAAAATTCTTGCACCTACCTTTCTTTTTAATAATAATAAAAAAAAGTTACGATTGGAACATTGAACGCGTAATGGAATTTTACTCATTTTGAAAAGTTTTTCTCAAAGGCGCAAAGAAATATGGATATAAAAAAACAGCTATATGAACGTTATTTTTTCTGTTGACAGCTTTTGAATTACCATATAGGAATTGCGTCCCTTAGCCACTTACTCCGAAGACTAAAACAACATTGTTTAATTTCACGGCTAAAATGAAAAAAAAAATTGCATTGTTTTTTTTTTTTTTAAATGCTGACGCCAGCAAAAAACAGAAAACAAGCTTATATTTATGTTTAATGCGTTTCGGCGCGTTGGGCATTGAGCAGTCTTGTTTGATTTGAGTGGGCGGATCCTTGCACTTTTTCTCCTTATCTTTCTCCCCCTCTTACTATCTTTCTTGAAAGCTATGATGTTTTGCGGTCCTTTAATACAGCAGGAATAAAAATCTTTACAAATTTTTTTCTTTAATTAAAAATAACAACAATACGATTGGAATATTTAACACGTATTGGAGTTTTACCTAAATTGAAAAGTTTTTTTAAAAGTCGCAAAGATATATAAATCTAAAAATTCCAGCCATATAAACTTTCTTTTAAAATTCTGTTAACGGATCTCGCCTCGATTGAAACATCCGATTTCTAAAGACGCACAGCTGTTATGCCCACCAAAATTGCTGTAATAGTCGGAAATGTAGTCGCCGCTGTCGTGGCTCATTTCCGCTCACTTTCCCAATCTCCCTTCGTTCGTGTCTCCCAGTGCATTGTTCATTCCGTTCTACCCTGCAATTTTGCGGGCAGGTGTTTCGGACGGATTGCGATCTCGAACCCTCCCCCCCCCCCCCCCCCCCCTTTGTCTTATCGCCCGCCACGACAGAGAGAGAGCTCTTGAAAGTGCTAAATTGAATCTGGTTTCTGGCATTAGCTGACTGCGAAGAGTTCGAGAAGTCTTTTCTAGAGCCTGTCAGCGTTCCTAGGCTACCGCATTCTGTGGGGTGTGTCCCACTACTTCATATGAACCACACACATCGTTTCACATAAAATAGCGTTGTGACTTACCAATGCTATGTTATGTGCATTGCAAGGTGGTTAGGAATTACGCCACCGAACAATATGAGCTGAAGCACTCAATCTGGACTCTTCGTATATCTACAGTTTCGACAAGCTCTGTTATCTCACAAATTGTGAAAGGGTTCGAATATAGTGACCCAGGCTTTGCCTTCCTACTCGTGTTTCCGTAAATCTTTCATGAAGACTGACAAGTAAACCATAGAAGCATGGAGAGCTGTTTCAGCTTATGTTGACCGCTGTAGTACATTTGTTTTGTGGAAATCAAAGGTGGAAACCCTCTAACTAATTTTTATTTTTAATTTTTAGTGTCGTGTCCGGGTGGTGATGACAACTACAGCCCGAATACTTATGAGTTTAATATGACCCAGAAGAGCCTCAGTGCCTAGCTTGCGCCATCGGTAGCTCGCAGTTCCAGAGTGCGCGCTCAAGGATCGCGCGCACAGGGCAATGCCGATCTTCGTCCTTTATGCGCGAGTGGCGCCGCGCTGGACATCACACTCCTTCCCCCTCTAGATGCCGTCGCCATATCTTTGAGGAGGTCGCCTTTGACGTTGAGGTCTAGCGGAACTGTTTGATGGAACCAAGTCGGCATTGGGCTGCACTTCTGCTTGAGCCTCTGGGGCACATTGCTGTTCTGCTGGTGACGGTTCCCCAGTCGTCGGAATGGTCCACTGCGCTGGTAAACCTTGTGGGCCATTACTGGTCTTCGCTGTCGAAGATGCTTCTGTGACAAAATGTCTCGGGTGGTCTGTTACTGGGTTCCTTATGTGATCTTCGTGTCGTCGTACTGTGCCTTGGTCTGTTCTGATGATCCAGGAACGAGATCCAAGTCTTCTTATGATTGTTCCTTGGATCCACGACGGTTTGCCTGTAAAGTTCTTAACGAACACCTCTCGGTTAACAAAAAGATTTCTGGGAGACTTGGTTGTTCCTGGTGTATCCTCATCTCTTCCCCTTGCTTGCGGTTGGAGGCGAGTGATCGCCGTTGACAACTCGCGACCCAACATCAGCATGGCTGGAGTCTGTCTCGTCGCGCAACTGATGGTGGTGTGTTGCTTAAAAAGAAACCGAGCGATTCGGCACGATAAGCACCCCGTCTTATCCTTCGACACCGCTTGTTTGGTCTCGTAAACCATCCTTTCAGCTTGTCCGTTGGTCGCCGGATGGTACGGTGCACTCGTGACGTGTCGAATACCGTTATTCTTAAAGAACTGTTCGGTTTCGGCTGATACCAGTGACGTACCGTTGTCGCTGACGATCTTGCGTGGTACTCCGAATGTTGCGAATACATTACGGAGTTCCTGGATGAGTGAGCTGGAAGTGATGGTGTTCATTTGACGAACTTCCAGCCATTTGCTGAAGGCGTCAACTATTATCAGCAACATCTTGCCTTCAACGGGTCCGGCGAAGTCGATATGTAATGTATCCCATGGCGTCGTCGGTCGTTGCCATTCCGGAGAAGGTGCTTTGGGCGGTGCCCGTTGATGCTGTTGGCAATTGCTGCACGTTCTTGCCTTGGCTTCGATGTCTCTGTCTACACCAGGCCACCAAACGTAACCTCGTGCAGCTGCCTTCATGGCCACCATGCCTCGATGACCTGCGTGGAGTAGCTCGAGGACGTGAGCTCTGGCTGCACTGGGAATGACTACCCTCGTGCCTCGCGTCAAGCAACCGTTAAGTGTCGACAGTTCAGTGGCGATAATTTTGTACAGCCCGCACTCGTCCTTGCTCAACTCTCCCAGATTTCCGTGATGTATGGCCTTGTAGACGAGTGCCAAAGTTTTGTCTTGCGCTGTGAGCGCTGCAATGCGTTCTGGGCAAAGTTGAGGAATAGGCGAGCCGGCCAACATCAGTACATCTCCAGGTTGGCAGGGCTCGTCGACACAAGCAGGTAGCGGTAGCCTGCTCAGAGCGTCTGCGTTTTGATGTAATCGTCCCCGTCTGTACTTCAACTCGTAGTCGTATGCACCTAGTTTGATGCACCATCGTGTCATACGCGGGGATAGCACTTGAGGTATTGTTTTCGAGCCTCCAAGTATTCCCAGAAGTGGTTGGTGGTCCGTGTAGATGGTTACCTGTCGTCCAGCGATGTATTCATGGAAGTGACATACTGCATAGACAATGGCCAACCCTTCTTTATCCAGCTGGGAATAGTTTTTCTCTGCTGCTCCTAGCGTCCTCGACGCAAAAGCAATCGGAGCCTCACGTCCCAAGGCGTCTCTCTGAGCAAGCACTGCTCCTACGCCGTAAGGGGACGCGTCGCAGGAAAGAAGCAGGGGCTTGTTTTCGTCATAGTGGGCAAGGACCGTGGATTCCTTGACTAGTTGCTTGAGCTTTCGGAACGCTTCCTTGTGACTGTCCTTCCAGAGCCAAGGAACATTTTTCTGGAGAAGCTTGTACAGGTCTGTTGCGACTGTAGCTCTGTTCTTGAGGAAGCGGTCATAAAATGCCAACAACCCCAGAAAGGCTTGCAGCTCAGGTTTCCCGGTTGGCTCTGGAGCGTCTAGAATCGCTTGCACTTTGTCACCGGTTGTGTGAACCCCTGAAGCATCAATTTTGTGTCCCAGGAAGGTAGCTTCGCTGACTGAAAACTTGCATTTTCCTTTTTTTAGTCTCAGACCGGTGCTGTCTAATCTGGACAGTACTTGTTCCAAACGCTCAGCATGTTCTTTCTTGCTCGCTCCACTGATGATGATGTCATCTAAATAGACACTTATTCCGTCTATGCCGGCGAGTGTTGTTTCCATCATTCGCTGGAAGATCGCTGGTGCTGCTGAAATTCCGAACGGAAGTCGT